AATGAAGGTTAAGTGATAAATTGGGGAGATTTGGTTTGGAACCGTCGGGTGCGTGCTCGCAAATTGTTGTTTTTTTTTTCCTTTGGGGAAAGGGATTCCAAAAAAACACTGTTTGACAGGAATCCGTAAAAGGGAAAGTAGCAGGAGAAAGCACCCGAACGAGCGGAATATGCCAACAAGCGAAAACCCGGGGCTCATGACAGTTTAATGGGCCTGGCACAGCAGGGAGGAGCCCGGGAAACGGGGGCCCATGGCAGATTAGGGCCTGGAAAGCAGAAAAGGGGGGGCCCAGCACCCCTATGACAAAAATGGAAAAACCCACCAGAGGTTTGGTGAGGAAAAAATGGAACACACCAGCATGCTGGCGAAGTGGAAAGACAGCAGCAGATTGGGGAGCCTTATCAGGGACCAATGATACACTGTGGAACCTTTGGGCAGCAGCATGAGGATAAGGCGGGTACATTGGGGCCATTGGCAGAGTATGGGACTACGGGCAGCAGCTATGGAGGCCCCGTAATTTCTGCCAGCAACCCCTATGACAACAAATGGAACACCAACCAGACGCAGTGTGGAGTAGACTGAAAGTGGGAACAATGGCAGAGTGTGGGAGGAGACAGCATCAATGGGTAAGGCCTAGTACAGGGGACCATGAGAGACTGTGGACCTGGCAGCAGCATGAGGGCAGGGCGGTACTGGGGCCCATGGGCAGATTAGGGGCCTGGCAGCAGCAATGGGAGGCCCGTAATCTGCCAGCACCTATGACAAAAAATGGAACACACCAGCAGTGTGTGAGGAGACCTGAAAGTGGCACATGGCAGAGTGTGGCGATGGAGACAGCAGCAATGGAGGCCGTACAGGGACCCATGAGGAACTCTGGACCAGGCAGCAGCATGAGGAGGCGGTACAGGGGCCCATGGCAGATTAGGGGCCTCGCAGCAGCTGGCAGGGGACCCATGAGAGACTGTGGACCTGGCAGCAGCATGAGGAGGCGGTACTGGGGCCCATGGCAGATTACGGGCCTGGCAGCAGCAATGGGAGGCCCGTAATCTGCCAGCACCCTATGACAAAAAATGTAACACACCAGCAGTGTGAGGAGACCTGAAAGTGGCACATGGCAGAGTGTGGCGATGGAGACAGCAGCAATGGGAGGCGGTTCAGGGACCCATGAGACACTGTGGACCTGGCAGCAGCATGAGGAGGCGGTACAGGGGCCCATGGCAGATTAAGGCCTGGCAGCAGCAATGGGAGGCCCGTAATCTGCCAGCACCCTTGACAAAATGGAACCCTGGCTGGGGCAGGCAGAACCCGCCGTATCTTTATCACGGTTTTCCCAGGCCACCAAATGGCGACGCTGCATATGCTGACGCAACGCTGTAGTCCCAACATGGGCCCCCTGGCCACGCTTGACTTTCTGGCCACATAGTCGACATACGGCTACGTTTACTTCCTCGGGCGGCTTGACGAAAAATTGCCACACCGCCGAGTAGAAAACTTTGCCCCCGCTACTCCTCACTGGCTGACTGCTACTTCCTCCGTGCACACCGGCACCACTACTGGCCGTGGTGTAGGCTGCAGTGGAGCTGGTGCTCTACTCCGTGGCCGTTTGCCTCCACTGACACTGCTGCGACCCTGCTGCCTCCTGGCAGCAGCAATGGGAGGCCGTACAGGGACCCATGACACACTCTGGACCTGGCAGCAGCATGAAGAGGCGGTACAGGGGCCCATGGCAGATTACGGGCCTGGCAGCAGCAATGGGAGGCCGTAATCTGCCAGCACACTATGACAAAAAATGGAACACACCAGCAGTGTGTGAGGAGACCTGAAAGTGGCACATGGCATGAGACACTGTGGACCTGGCAGCAGCATGAGGAGGCGGTACAGGGGCCCATGGCAGATTAGGGGCCTGGCAGCAGCTATGGGAGGCCCGTAATCTGCCAGCACCCTATGACAAAAAAATGGAACACACCAGCAGTGTGTGAGGAGACCTGAAAGTGGCACATGGCATGAGACACTGTGGACCTGGGCAGCAGCATGAGGAGGCGGGTACAGGGGGCCCATGGCAGATTAGGGGCCTGGCAGCAGCTATGGGGAGGCCCGTAATTGCCAGCACCCTATGACAAAAAATGGAACACACCAGCAGTGTGTGAGGAGACCTGAAAGTGGCACATGGCAGAGTGTGTGGCGATGGAGACAGCAGCAATGGGAGGCCGTACAGGGACCCATGACACACTCTGGACGTGGCAGCAGCATGAGGAGGCGGTACAGGGGCCCATGGCAGATTACGGGCCTGGCAGCAGCAATGGGAGGCCCGTAATCTGCCAGCACCCTATGACAAAAAATGGAACACAACAGCAGTGTGAGGAGACCTGAAAGTGGCACATGGCATGAGACACTGTGGACCTGGCAGCAGCATGAGGAGGCGGTACAGGGGCCCATGGCAGATTAGGGGCCTGGCAGCAGCTATGGGAGGCCCGTAATCTGCCAGCACCCTATGACAAAAAATGGAACACACACCAGCAGTGTGTGAGGAGACCTGAAAGTGGCACATGGCAGAGTGTGGCGATGGAGACAGCAGCAATGGGAGGCCGTACAGGGACCCATGACACACTCTGGACCTGGCAGCAGCATGAGGAGGCGGTATAGGGGCCCATGGCAGATTACGGGCCTGGCAGCAGCAATGGGAGGCCCGTAATCTGCCAGCACCCTATGACAAAAAATGGAACACACCAGCAGTGTGAGGAGACGTGAAAGTGGCACATGTTTGGGGCATGATTCATGGCGGATTTAGTCAGTTGTGTCAGGAACTGGTGGTTTGAAATCCAGACTAATCCACGCCTGATTCATTTTCACAAACGTGAGTGTTTCTCACACTTTGGGTGGACAGTCGTGTCCTCCGGGAGTTACAATACCTCCTGCCGCACTAAACACGCGCTCCGATGCCACGCTACTGGCCGGGCATGACAGCCTTTCAAGGGCAAATTCAGCTAGTTGGGGCCAAAGGTCAAGTTTCGTTGCCCAGTAGTCAGGGGATTGTCTACCTCGGTTGGCAGGGTGCTGTCCAAGTAGCCTAAGCCTGTTGTTTGAGGTCCTGCTCCAGGTCCACCTGATGCTGCTGCTGCGGCTGGTTAGTAGTTTCCTCACTGCGCTGGTGAAGAAAGCTACTCATCATCGACTGCAGACTGAGGCAGCTGCTGCTGGTGGAGCTGCCCACTGCTCCTACCCACCCCACCCCTCCCTGCTGCCATGGCAGCGGAACGCGAGCGCACAGGGCCCACAGTGTCTGAGGATGGACGTTGGCGCAGAAAGGCAGAGACCAGCTGACTACATAGGTGGTTTTTATAGTACGTTATTTTGGCCTCCCAGCAGCAGGTGTGAAAAAGGCCACCATTTTTGAACGGTAGCGAGGGTCCAACAAGGTGGACAGCCAAAAGTCATCCCTCTGTCTTATGGTTATTATTCGGCTGTCGCTACGCAAGCAAGCGAGCATGCTATGGGCCCATTTGTGCCAAGGATGCGAGGGACTCCCTGCCTCCATCTCCACAGCATACTGCCACGGTGCGTCTGGGTCCTCTGTCTCCTCCTCCTCTTCCTCTACCAGATGCTAATGCTCCTCCCACTCCTGTCCGCTGAGTGGAAAAAAAACCCATTTCACTCAATAATTCCTGAGCACCAATGTCCTCCTCTACCTCCTCCTCTTCTTCCTGTCCTGCCCCCACAGGGGTATGTGGGGTCATGTGGCGTTGAGATCTGTGCGCATCTACCGCACCCTGACCAGCCATTGTTAACCAGCATTTGTTCCAGGAGATGTGCAACAGAGGAATGACGTCGTTCATCCCAATAGGACCTGCCGAACTCAGAATGAGCGTGGCCTCCAGCAAAGGGCCTGAGCAAGCGCAGGTGTCACGCAGTAGCTGCCAATGGCAGACATTAAGTTACAAAGGAGTACCTTTATCTGCTTTTAACATCAGAAATCTGTGATGGCCACTTTCGCAGTTCGTAAAGGCGGTCTAAGATGTACTGGTTGAATTCCACCTTGTTGCAACGTCACAGCATGAGGAAGGTCGGTACAGGGGCCCATGGCAGATTACGGGGCCCTGGCAGCAGCAATGGGAGGCCCGTAATCTGCCAGCACCCTATGACAAAAAAATGGAAACACACCAGCAGTGTGAGGAGAGACACTGAAAGTTGGCACATGGCAGAGTGTGGCGATGGACCCATGATGAGACAGCAAGCAATGGAGAGGCCTGTTACAGGGCCTGACCCATGAGAGACACTCTGGACCTGGCAGCAGCATGAGGAGGCGGTACAGGGGCCCATGGCAGATTAGGGGCCTGGCAGCAGCTATGGGAGGCCCGTAATCTGCCAGCACCCTATGACAAAAAATGGAACACACCAGCAGTGTGAGGAGACCTGAAAGTGGCACATGGCAGAGTGGCTGGCGAGGAGACAGGCAGCAAATGGGGGCCGTACAGGGCACCCATGAAAGCACACCTGGCAGCAGCAGAGAGGACGGCGGTACAGGGGCCCATGGCAGATTAGGGGCCTGGCAGCAGCAATTGGGAGGCCCGTAATCTGCCAGCAACCTATGACAAAAATGGGAACACACCAGCAGTGTGAGAGCAGACCTGAAAGTGGCACATGGGCAGAGTGTGGCGATGCGAGACAGACAGCCGCAATGGGAGGCCGTACAGGGACCCATGAGAGACTCTGGAACCTGAGGCAGCAGCTTGCATGCACTGAGGCTGTACATAGGCGGTCCCATGGCAGAATCTACGGGCCTGGCAGCAGTAATGCGGAGGCCCGTAATATGCCAAGCAACCCTATGTACATCAAAATTTAACACAAACCAGCAGTGTGGAGGGGAAACCTAAAAAAGGGGGCCCCAATGGATGAGACACTGTGGCCCTCCCCAGCAGCATGGGGAAAGGGGGTTTGGGTTACGGGGGGCCCGGCAGGATTGGGGCCCTGGCAGAACCCTAAGGAGGCCGTAATCTCCCAGCCCCTATGAAAAAAAAATGGAACACACCAGCAGGTTGAGGCCCCCTAAAAAGGGGAAACAGGGCAGAGTGTGGCGAGGGAAAGGACACCCGCAATGGGAGGCCGTACGGGGGGCCCCTTTGGGGAGACTCGGGAAACCTGGCAGCGCATGGGGGAGGCGGTTTTAGGGGCCCCCAGGGCCAGTTTTAGGGGGGGCCCCACCCAGTATAGGAGGCCCGAAATCTGCCAGCCCCCTATAAAAAAAAAAAGGAAACACCGCAGTGGGGAGGAGACCTGAAAGGGGGACATGGCAGAGTGTGACGATGGGGGAAGGGCAGCAATGGGGGGGGCCGGGTACAGGGCCCCCATGAGAGACTCTG